AAAAAAAAAAAAAAAAAAAAAAAAAAAAAGAAATAAAACACAATCAATGGAGCTAAACCCCTCCCCACCACCCCATAGTCTGTCTTGTCTCATCCATCCTCTCCCATTAGAGGCAGGCAATATCTTGTATTTGGTATGTACCTTTTCCAAATGCACATCTTTTAAAATGTAAATGGAATTATATAATGACCCGATTTTTTTCAGTCAACAATAGGATATAATTATTCCAATGAATACATATAGCCTGACTACCTAGAATTCCACGGTGTGGTTATTCCATGGTTATTAAACTAGTCCCCTCTTACTACATCTTGTTTATTGTTTTTCACTGTTATCAACAATGCAGTGTTGAACATCCCTATACAAATATCTTTGGGCATTTTTGCAATTATTTATACAAGATAATTTTTTTTTTTTTAAGACCGAGCCTCACTTGGTCACCCAGGCTGGAGTGCAGTGGCATAATCTTGGCTCACTGCAACCTCTGCCTCCCGGGTTCAAGCAATTCTCTCTCCTCAGCCTCCAGAGTAGCTGGGACTACAGGCATGTGCTACCACGCCCAGCTAATTTTTGTATTTTTAGTAGAGACAGGGATTTCACCATGTTGTCCCAGCTGGTCTCGAACTCCTGACCTCAGGTGATCTGCCCACCTCAGCCTCCCAAAGTGTTGGTATTACAGGTGTGAGCCACCACCCTCGGCCTTATAGGATAAATTTCTAAACTTAAACTTGCTGGGTGAAAGTGAATACATATTTTAGAATTTTATTACATTCTTTGCTCATTTTTCTCCTGGGTTGTGAGAGTTAAATATATTTCATAAATACATGTATTTCTTTTGAGACCACTTTTTTTTCTCTCTCTCTTTTTTGTTTTTTGAGACAGAGTTTTGCTCTTGTTGCCCAGGCTGAAGTGTAGTGGCGCGATCTCGGCTCACTGCAACCTCTGCCTCCCAGATTCAAGCAATTCTCCTACCTCAGCCTCCTGAGTAGCTGGGATTACAGGCGCCCGCCACCACGCCTGGCTAATTTTTGTATTTTTAGTAGAGACAGGGTTTCACCACATTGGCCAGGCTGGTCTTAAACTCCTGACCTCCAGTGATCTGCCTGCCTCAGCCTCCCAAAGTGCTGGGATTACAGGCATGAGCCACCGTGCCCAGCCAAGACCACTTTTAAATTAACTCTGGCAGAAGTACTGAGCATGGGAAATGGCACTTACCAAGCACTGTGCCCAACGCTGCATGTATCACCTCATTACCTTATTTGTTCAAAACAACTAACTTGTGATGTAGAGGTACTCTCATAAAAAGTGAGCTTCAGAAAGGTTTTGTAACTTTTCCCCAAGATCATTGATATAGCAGGAACAATAGGAGTAGTTGTAGTGGTAGTATAACAACGGTAATTATTATAGATAGTATTTATTTAGCACTTCCTGTGTGCCGTTCTAAATGCCTTACATGCATCATCAACTAATTTCATCTCCACAATAACCCTCAGAGATAAGACCTTTGCTTTCCTCATTTTACAGAGGAGGAAAATGAAATGCAAAACTAGTAAATGGTAGAGCCCTGACAGAACCCAAGTTCATCTGATTCCAAAGTCCATGTTCCTTGCACTATACCAAAGTGATTCTCAGTGAAGAAAATGAAATATTTACACTCGGTTTGCCGATTTGTGTTTTTTTTTTTAATCTATATTAAAGCTAGGCCCAAACATGGCCAGGCATGGTGGCTCACACCTGTAATCCCAGCACTTTGGGAGGCCAAGGCCAAAAAAAAAGAAAAAATTTAGGCCCAGACAATTTGATAGATATTTAAGTCCTGATGACAGCAACTATTTGGGGGGAAAAATACTCATAAACTGGAAGAAAAAATAATATTTTTTTAAAATTCTTTTCTTTCTTTTTTTTTTTTTTTTGAGACAGAGTTGCACTCTTGTCGCCCAGGCTGGAGTGCAGTGGCGTGATCTCAGCTCACTGCAACCTCCACCTCCTGGGTTTAAGCGATTCTCCAGCATCAGCCTCCTGAGTAGCAGGGATTACAGGCTCGTGCCACCACACTCAGCTGATTTTTGTATTCTTAGTAGAGACAGGTTTTGCCATGTTGGCCAGACTGATCTCGAGCTCCTGACCTCAGGTGATCTGCCCACCTTGGCCTCCCAGAGTGCTAGGATTACAGGCATGAGCCACCATACCTGGTGTTAAAATTCTTAAGTAACGACAGTTGCTTACTGATGGAAAGTATGCTACTGCTGTTCTCACACATTCGAATCAAATCAGACATTGCCACCCTCATTTCCTGTTTCACATTGATTTTCTTGAGATACTTCTTTTTATCATAACAACTACCAAAAACCCAGCTTTGCAAAGATAAGATATTGCTAATAGGAATATAGCACAATCTAATGTTAATACCGTTAACTACCTCAAGCTAATAATTTGGGTGATGTTCAACAGATGTTAGGCATTGCTGTGTTTCCCTTAAATTTAAAATATTCTGCCTCTGTGAGTTCACCACAGCACCCCAGGGCTTGTTGGCGCACAATTTTGGAACCATTGGTGTAACTACTTTGACCTCAGATACTCAGAGAAGTGCATGGCCACTGCCATAATCTCAGGCTCTGCTTCCTTGGGATGTTCAGTTCAGTACATGCTCAACTGATAAATACAGCAAATATAAGTCAAACCATCATCATTGGGGATAATGAAAATTTGAAAAAAAAAAAAATCTAACATTTATTCCTATAATACTAAAATCTTGAGGATGAACATTAATACTCAGTTAATTATAATATAGAATGCCATATTGACATAATGCTGTTAACAGTAATTTTCTTATTTAATATTTAAAGTTATATGAATCTATTCTAAATATTTCTGTGATGTTCTCTGTTTTTCCCCTATAAATATGTCTTACTATACTCTTCATCTCTTTCAGTGGAAAAAGATGGAAACCATCATACAAGAGAAACTCACTTCAATAATTTGTATAGCATGGTACATTACTGTGAAAATATAACGGAATGCAGGAGAATACAGCTTTTGGCCTATTTTGGTGAAAATGGATTTAATCCTGATTTTTGTAAGAAACACCCAGATGTTTCTTGTGATAACTGCTGTAAAACAAAGGTAAAAAAAGAAGTTTTAAAATTATTTATAATTAAAATGTTTTTTAATTTTAAAAATGTAGATACAAATTAGATTGCAAAAGGTGGTCTCCGACAGATTAACAGGGGAAAGACAGCTTCCTTCCAGTAGTAATTTGGAATGGAAACATTTAAAAAGTAATTTCATGCAGTATCTTTTCTTTATAATTAGAACCCTGTTAAAAAATATACTGGACATCTGCATATCCAAAATATTGAGTTTATATATGTGCACTGATCATTACAAAATATTTTAGAAATATTAATATGCAAACACCCAGAAAGATTCAACATGGGCAGATAGAATATTTTAAATTTAATATATTGATGTTATTAATATATTACATTATATTAAAATTTTAATTGATTAAATAAAATATATTTAGATTGATGTATTAGTGTTTAATTTTTTAATATTTAATTAATATACTAAAAGAGCTCATTCTCAAAAGAATAATAACTAGCATACTGTATGTTTGAATTCAAATCAATGACATTACTCTTTTTCTTTTTTTTTGAGACGGAGTCTCGCTTTGTCGCCCAGGCTGGAGTGCAGTGCCACAATCTCGGCTCACTGCAAGCTCCACCTCCCGGGTTCACGCCATTCTCCTGCCTCAGCCTCCAAGTAACTGGGACTACAGGCACCCACCACCACACCCGGCTAATTTTTTTGTATTTTTAGTAGAGATGGGGTTTCACCATGTTAGCCAGGATGGTCTCTATCTCCTGACCTCGTGATCCGCCCACCTTGGCCTCCCAAAGTGCTGGGATTACAGGCGTGAGCCACCGTGCCTGGCCTACATTACTCCTTTTTTTTTTTAACTGTAAAGAATAACAGTAACTGCTTGTGGGTAAATTCACTATTATCTGTCCTAAAATACCCTTGGGAATTGTTAAATTCAATCATTAGGTACTTATTTTACCTATCATGGTAATTCTACATTTTAATGTCTACTGTATCTTACTGCTTACTGAGCATTTTCATATTTGTTATATTATTTACCTATCTGGGAGTTTTAAACTTATATGTGCAAGATGCTGGAGAGCCACAAGTGAACATGGTGTAGACCAATTCATAGACTGGAGTGGAGACTGACATACATGTGTTCATAGAAGTTTAACACTCTGGCTGGGCACGGTGGCTTATGCCTGTAGTTCCAGCAGTTTGGGTGGCCGAGGTGGGCGGATCACCTGAGGTCAGGAATTCAAGACCAGCCTGACCAACATGGTAAAACCCTGTCTCTACTGAGAAAATACAAAATTGGCCAGGTGTGGTGGCCCATGCCTGTAATCCCAGCTACTTGGGAAGCTGAGGCAGGAGAATCGCTTGAAGTTGGTAGGTGGAGGAGGCTACAGTGAGCCAAGATCATGCCATTGCACTCCAGCCTGGGCAACAAGAGCAAAACTTCACCTCAAAAAAAAAAAAAAAAGTTTAATACTCTCAGTAAGTATAGTTAAAGACAGAGCACAAGGCAGAGCAGAGGGTCATCTCTCTCAGTGTGGAATTGGCAAATTCATGCCATCTGCTCCCACCCCACACAATCCTGTAAACATTGCTAATCACTTCCCTCATTCAACAGATATTTGTTGGGCTGTGTAACAGGCACTGTTGTAGGAATTTGGGATATATCACTAAACAAAATTTAAATCCCTGCCCTTGCGGAGCTTACACTCTAGCAGAGGGAGGCCAGTTACAAACAATATACACAATAAATGTATGTGAAAGGATAAGAACTGTGGTGAATGACACAGCAGAGTAAAAAGACAGGAGGAATGGGTAGAGTGCAGTATGCAGTATTAGACGGGGTGGTCGTTGGAAGTCTAATTGAGAAGATGGGAGCTGAGCAAAATCTTGAAGAAAGGAGTTAGCTGGCAGCTCTCTGGATGTGAGCTTTCCTGGAGGAAACATTGGCTAGAGCAAAGGCCCTAAGGTGGTGGTGTGCCTGGTGTGTTCGAGAGATAGCAAGGGAACCCCATGTGGCTGAGCAGGATTAAGAGCCAGCGAGAGGAAGAGGTGATGGAGAGCCAGAGCAGCCACTTGAGGGCTAGAGTCCCAGAGTAACTAGAGGCCTGAGTAACTGGAAGGATGGAGTTTTCCTTGGCTACAATGCAGAAGGCTGGTTGGCAGAGAAGATCAGGAGTTTGGTTTGGGTTACCTAAATTGGGAATCTAATATTGAGTTACATATTAGATTCAAAAATTCTGAAAAGAGACTGATGGCACATGGGTGATATTTAAAGCATGGCCATTAGCTGACAGTTGGGATAAGAGAAGGGACAGAAGAGAAGGGAGAAAGTATGAAATAGTTGTCTAGGACAGGAGTCAGTAAACTTGCTTTTAAAGGGCCACAGAGTAAATGTTGTACACTTTGCAGCCATAGTCTCTGTCACAACGACTCACAACTTTGCCATTGTAGGCTACATGCAGACATAAACAATAAATACACCGATTTTCCAGTCATCTTCCATGGCTGTGTTCCAATAAAACTTTATGCACAAAAGCAGACATCCAGCTCCTGGGCCATAGTTTGCTGACTTCTGTTGTGAGAGAATGGAGGAATGATAGGCTAGGGAAGTATAAAGATAATGATTGCCTATAGCATTAACAGTCCATTCGAGCTTTGTGACCATGTATTGACCATGAAAATGCCAAGTTCAGTCACGTAGGTACAGGGATAGTGTAGATGGAGAATTGGGTCCACTATGTTTTGCCAGGTAATATGGTGAAGTGACCTAAGGGCAAAAGAGCTGATGCTCTATGAGAGGTAGTGATTATAATGATTGACTGTGGAATTTCAGCTGAGTTAGGAGGACATCTGAGGGTGAGAGTCAGCAGATGGGCATTCCCAGGGGATTGTTGGAGTCAGAATACCAGATGGCATGAGTTGGAAAGATATGATGTGGTCTTCTGAGAATGAGGGAGTTGCCATTATTAGCAAGCTTAAGGTAGGAAGTGTGAGTGACTGATGTATGTGGAGGACAGGATCATTGGAGCAGAGGAGATCAAGAACCAAAAGGTCAAAGTAGGATCAGCTCTATATATCCAATCACCAAGAATTAAGGTAGGTGGCCAGTTGCAGTGGCTCACACACCTGTAATCCCAGCACTTTGGGAGGCTGAGGCCGGTGGATCACCTGAGGTCAGGAGTTAGAGACTAGCCTGGCCAGCGTGGTGAAACCCCATCTCTACTAAAAATACAAAAAAATTAGCCTGGCATGGTGGCAGGTGCCTGTAACCCCAGCTACTTGGGAGGCTGAGGCAGAAGAATCGCTTGAACCTGGGAGGTGGGGGTTGCAGGGAGCCGAGATTGCACCATTGCACTCCGGCCTGGGCAACAAGAGCGAAACTCCATCTCAAAAAATAAATAAATATTAAGGTAGGAATGGAGTGACAGGGTACTTTTTTCAATGATTCTAGATAGGGCTTCAGAATTGCTTGCAGTTGTTAGTGTAAGACCACAAACCTATTCATCTCCGGGTTATTGGTGTGTGCAAATGACAAGGATTAGAAGGTAGGGAGAACTGCATGCACAGAAGCACCAAGCATGATGCAACTTTTAACACCCGTGAGTGGTCAGTATTGCTGGTAGAGAGAACTAGGAGAGAGGAAGGCAAAAAGTCATCTAGTAATGGGGGCTCTAAAAAGTGGGCAAAGTTTGGGGATAGCTGAAGGAAAGGAGAAAGGAAACTCACAGGAGATGATGAAGGAGCATTGACTGTGGCACCAAAGACCCCAGAGGGGTTAGAATTCGTGGATATACGTGGCTGGACAGTATTTTTCATCCCACAGGTTGCCACCCAGTATGTAACAGCACTATTCTAGGAGGTATGAAGGATTTCAAGTGTGTGTGTGTGTCTGTATGTTATATATGTTGGTTGGTCCATGCCACTCAGCCTATCACTAGCTAAACATCTACCCACAGAGTGCTATCCGGTAGTTGAGAGACAAGCTGTATCTCTGTGAAACAGTAACAGCATAGAGTGGTAATTGTTCTAGAACTTAGATAAGAATGAACATTTGAAATTTCCGTAATTTTTAGTCTTGGTATTGCTCTGGAAATGGGTTAAGATGAATCTACCATAGTTAATATTAAACCCTAGTAATCTAGGCGTTGCTACCTTAATTATAGCAGAAAGTATTCTCTTTTTATTCACAGGATTATAAAACAAGAGATGTGACTGATGATGTGAAAAGTATTATAAGATTTGTTCAAGAACATAGTTCATCACAAGGAGCGAGAAATATAAAACATGTAGGTCCTTCTGGAAGATTTACTATGAATATGCTGGTTGACATTTTCTTGGGTAAGTCATCTGTTTTGAATGTTTGAATTACATCCATTGAAATTGAGCATCTAAAGAATTTATTACAAGTCAATAGAAAAAAATCACTTTTGTCTATTTTCTTATAAAACTGGAGTTTCTGAATAAAACTTTTGAGTAACAAAAGGAAGTCAATTTTATTATACTATTTTATATAATGTATATGTCACTAAGTTGAGATGGTTTCACATACAAAAAAAGAAAATAATAAAGCTTATGCAAGTTCATCTGAGTGAGTGGAATGTAACTATTAAAATGTTAGTAAGGAAATAAAATGAGGATTAGACCCATAATAGCCTAGAGAATAGGAGAGAAACTATTATCAGATTAGAGCCTTTAAAAATCTCTTAGGGGCTGAGCATATTAGCTCACACCTGTAATCCCAGCACTTTGGGAGGCTGAGGCGGGTGGATCACCTGAGGTCAGGAGTTCGAGATCAGCCTGGCCAACATGGTGAAACCCTGTCTCTACTAAAAAATACAAAAAGTTAGCCAGGCGTGGTGGCAGGCGCCTGTAATCCCAGCTACTCGGGAGGCTGAGGCAGGAGAATCACTTGAACCCAGGAAGTGAAGGTTGCAGTGAGCTGAGATCGCACCATTGTACTCCAGCCTGGGCAACAAGAGTGAAACTCTGTCTCAAAAATAAATAAACAAACAAACACAAAAATTAGTGGGGTATGGTGGTGTGCGCCTGTAATCCCAGCTACCAGGGAGGCTGAAGCAGGAGAATCACTTGAACCCGGGAGGCAGAGGTTGCAGTGAGCCGAGATCACACCATTGCACTCCAGCGTGGGCAACAAGAGCAAAACTCTGTCTCAAAAAAAAAAAAAAAAAAAAAGACTTAGGAAATGGATGGAAGCATGTTGACAAATAGAACAAAATGCAATAAAGCCACAACCCAAAATGAATATAGGGAAGATTTATAACAGAAAAGGGACTATCAGCCAGGCAAAACCCCAACACTAAGCATCAGTCTTGAAGTCTAGAGATACAAGAGGATAGGAGTGAAACCCAGGGAGCCAAAATTAGGAAGCAGGGCTGGACATGGTGGCTCACACCTGTAATCCCAGCACTTTGGGAAACCAACATAGGAGGATTGCCTAAGCCCAGGAGTTCGAGACTAGCCTGGGCAACATGGCAAAATACCGTCTCTACAAAAAAAATTACAAGAATTAGCCAGGCATGGTGGCACATGCCTGTAGTCTCAGCTACTCAGGAGGCTGAGGCAGGTAGGTCGCTTGAACCCAGGAGGAGGAAGTTGCAGTGAGCCGAGATCACACCACTGCATTCCAGCTTGGGCGACAGAGCAAGACTCCGTCTCAAAAAAAAAAAGAAAAATAGAAAATGTGCCCACAAAAAAACTGCATAGAATGCCTGGAATTGACTCAAGAGCAACAGTAAATGAAGCGATTGCCTAAAGAGTAGAAGGGCAGCTGAATTAGGGGTCAGAGCCCCTAAGTGGCATTTGGGAACTGCCTGGCCTACCTAAAGTCTGGTCCCACCTACTTACCCTAAAGCAAACCTGACAATTAAATATCCCCATTCAGGGAAGGAATTTCGGAGGAAGTAAATCTAGATAGAAAATAACAGAAGAAACCCACCTAAAAAGTTTCACCTAGTCCCTGAAATTTACTTAGAAATGAACAGTAAAGGCCAAGCACAGTGGCTCATGCCTGTAATCCCACCACTTTGGGAGGCCAAGGCGGGCGGATCACGAGGTCAAGAGATTGAGACCATCCTTGCTAACATGGTGAAATGCTGTCTCTACCAAAAATACAAAAATTAGCTGGGCGTGGTGGCGCACACCTGTAGTCCCAGCTACTCGGGAGACTGAGGCAAGAGAATTGCTTGAACCTAGGAGATGGAGGTTGCAGTGAGCCAAGGTAGCACCACTGCACTCCAGCCTGGTGACAGAGTGAGACTCCATCTCAAAAAAAAAGAAAGAAACCCGGGAGGCGGAGCTTGCAGTGAGCTGAGATCGCGCCACTGCACTCCAGCCTGGGCGACAGAGCGAGACTCCATCTCAAAAAAAAAAAAAAAAAAGAAAGAAAGAAATGGACAGTAAAGAGGAAGACCAAATAAATAGAACATTTGACCCTGGGTAATAGAGATCATTGAATATAGTAGTTTGGGAGAGAGGGGAGAGAAGACTCCTTAGTATCATCTTAAAGATTTTTTAAAATAAAGAGATAATTGAATAATGGAAAAGAAGCAAAAATGAGAAACAGCTGTCAATTTTAAATGATTGACAAAGTAAATTTAGTGGAGAGGTTGGAAAATAAAGTCAAGAAAATTTAGGAACTGATCAAAATGATGTATGGAAAATAGAGAAAGCATAGAAAGGATTAATCCTCAGCAGATGTAAAATCTGACAAAAATTTTGGAAATAGAAAATAAAGGGAATTATCAAACCAATGATATAGGAAAACTTCCTAGAGTGGAAGAGATAAAAGTTTTGGATTAAAATGTTCACTGAATGCCAAATAGGATGCCTGTAAAAAAAAAAAAATTAAGACATATGGCCATGAGATTTGAGAATACTAAGAGTTAAAGACATGTCAAAAAGAAAAACCTTTTCCTCAACCCTTCTTAGATTCAGTGATGGGGCCTGCAAATTAAACCAACAAAAGACAGATTAGCAAGGGAAAAGTCAGATTTAGTCATGTGTGGATAGGAGTTCACAGAAAAATGTGGTTCAAAGGGGCAGTTAGAATGTGGGGCTTATATACCATCTTAATAGAGGAAGGGGAGGAGGAGGGGGGCACTTACGGAAAAACAAATGACTGTTAGGAAAGACAGATGGACTGTTAGCAGACCAGATGGGAGATACAAGGTTTTTATGACAATGTCTGTTTAAGTGTGGTGTGAAGTCTTATCTCTGTTTAAAAGGGTCAGCCTTCCCTGGTTTTTCCAAGGGAGGGAATTTATGACAACTGAGAGTTCTTTTGGGAGGCCCTGCTTTTTGGCACATAAGAGATTTCAGATGCCTTCTGCTCAAAATAGTTTTTATGCCACAGTGGCATATTCTGGACCCCTTCAGAGACAATCCTGAAAGCTCTGGAAAGAAAACAGGAACCCAAACCAGACTGACATCAGCTTAATATCAGCAATCCTGGAGACCAGCAGGCAAAGAAAGTAAGCGCACATCATGATTTGATAAGCAGTGGAACCCACCCAGGGGTCCAGTGAAGAAAACCCATTGTCACAGTCAGGCAGCAGGGCCAGTAAGCAATCCATGCAGACTAACAAAAGTCAGGAGGAGGCTGCGCGCGGTGGCTCACGCCTGTAATCCCAGCACTTTGGGAGGCTGAGGCGGGCGAATCATGAGGTCAGGAGTTCGAGACCAGCCTGACCAACATGGAAAAACTCCGTCTCTACTAAAAATACAAAATAAGTTGGGTGTGGTGGCACGTGCCAGAAATCCCAGCTAGTCACGAGGCTGAGGCAGGAGAATTGCTTGAACTGAGAAGGTGGAGGTTGCGGTAAGCCAAGATCACGCCATTGTACTCCAGCCTGGGCAACAAGAGTGAAACTCCATCTCAAAAAAAAAAAAAAAGTCAGGAGGAACAGGACCCACCCAACATAGAGAGAGAGTAAGAAAGGAATGGTTTTATTGGTAACAGTGAAGAATGCAAATGTTACCTCTCAACAACAAAAAAAAAATGCGAGAGAGGCCCTTAGAAACTCCAGGGAAAAGATTATACAAGAGAGCAAGATCAAATATAAAACAAAGGAAGTTGTGGCCAGGTGCAGTGGCTCATGCCTGTAATCCCAGTACTTTGGGAGGCCAAGGTGGGTGTTTCACTTGAGGTCAGGATTTCCAGACCAGCCTGGCCAACATGGCAAAACCTCATCTCTACAAAAAAATACAAAAATTAGCCAGGACTGATGGTGTGTGCCTGTAATCCCAGCTACGCAGGAGGCCGAGGCAGGAGAATCGCTTGAATCTGGGAGGTGGAGGTTGCAGTGAGCTGAGATCGCACCACTGCACTCCAGCCTGGGCGACAGAGCAAGACTCCATTTCAAAAAAAAAAATTGTAACATGACTTTGAAGAATTAGTAAAATGTACCAAAAAATATCCATTTGACATGGATGTGATAAACATTCTCCTTTTGGTTCCATAAGAGTCATGACATTGTTCCAGTTAGGGAAGGAAATTTGTCATCATGTAAACAACGATTTAAATAAACATAGACCTAAATGTGGTTACAGGACAGAACAGATGTAAATGTTAATATTGATGATGTAAAAGTAAAAGTACAATCACTAAAAATAAAAGAAGGCATATACAGGGAAGGCTTGGGTACTAATAACATCTCACATTGTGGGGCGGGTTAGTGGTCAGAAGTTCTGTCTAAAGTTAGAAACATAATTAGTACATGACCCAATAGTATCATATAACTAGCAAAATTCAGAGAAGAATGAAACAAAGTGGGGGTGGTATGAATGAGATAAATCCTCATCTTTCATAGTAAAGGGGCAAGGGCAATAGATAAATGTCAGGCTATTGGACAGAAGGCAAGATTTCAGGTAAACAGCTGAAAACAAAAACTGTTCAAAAAGTGATTCCCTTGGGGAAGGGAAGGATGAGTCAGGGGAATATTGCTTTTATAAACCTTTCTGGCTGGGTACAGTGGCCCATGTCTGTAATTCCAGCACTTTGGGAGGCCAAGACAGGTGTATTGCTTGAGCCCAGGAGTTCAAGATCAGCCTGAGCAACCTGGTGAAACCCTGTCTCTATGAAAAATACAAAAATTAGTCAAGCGTGGTGGCACGCACCTGTAGTGCCAGCTACTCCAGAGGCTGAGGTGGGAGGATCACCTGCGCCCATGAGATTGAGGTGGCAGCGAGCTGTGATCTCGCCACTGCACCCCAGCCTAGGCAACAGAGCAAGACCCTGACTCAAAAAAAAAAAAAAAAAAAAAAAAATTGCATTTCAGCCAGCTTTCTTAGTTGTCCTTAGCAGTAAGGTTGGTCCATGCCACTCAGCCTATCATTAGCAAAACAGTAATCCTGTTTCTGTAATGTGACCTTTCAGGGACATATATTACTTAAAGAAAAAGTTGAATAATTCAGGATATATGGCCAGAAGCCATTTGGAATTGACAATAATATAATTATTTGGAACTCTTTAAAAACAGAGCTAAAGCTTTACATAATAACCAATAATTCTGATTGTTATAAATGTCACAAAGTCTCTTAAGTAGATCGTTACAATAAAATTGTGTTTATAATGAAGACATTAACAGTTACAGCAGCTTGCGAATGAAACAAAGGATCCAGCCTACTGTGGCTCTCGGCTGGTAAGAGAAAGAGGGAAATGTGTGTTCATATTCCTGTCTTCATCTCTCCCCTTGAGCACCTTATAGGGTGTTGTGCTTTTCTTTGAGAATTTGAATAGGCTTCTTTAGTGAGGGTGACAAAAAGAATAGACTTAAATACTTGGATTATCAACTAGTAGCAGTTTTGATAACAGGACCAGGGATAGTATTTATAAAACTGTCAAAAATTTTTTGTAGCCAGGTGCAGTGGCTCATGCCTGTAATCCCAATAGTTTGAGAAACCAGGGTGGGAGGATTGCTTGAGGCCAGGAGTTACAGAGACCAGCCTGAACAACATAGTGAGACCCTCGTCTCTACAAAAAAAATTAAATATTATAAAAGGACATAAAGAGTGTCATTGGATTGTTTGCAACTCAATGGATAAATACTTGAGGGAATGGATGGCCCATTCTCCATGATGTGCTTTTTTCATGCTGTATGCCTGTATCCAAATATCTCATGTACTACACAAATATATACACCTACTATGTAACTACAAAAATTAAAAAATTAATAAATACTAGATGCAGTTAAATATTTAAAATTTTTAAATAAGTGGGTGTGATGGACTGCACCTGTTATCTCAGCTAGTCAGGAGGCTGAGGCAGGAGGATCACTTGAGCCCAGGAGTTTGAGACTGCAGTGAACCATGATTGCACCACTGCACTCCAGCCTCCACAATAGAGTGAGAACTTCTCTCTAAAAAAAAAAAAAAAAAAAATCGTAACTAGATAAGTAATGGACAGTTACCCTAATGCATAGCATAGTGATAGAAAGCTATTACGGTTTATGTAAACTCTTTCTTTGATTTATTTGCTCCAATATAATTTTGCTGCTGTTTTTTGTCCATGTGTATTGTAAAAAGATAAGGAAAAGTACATACAACCATAGAAATTTTAGCGTTCTACTCAAATATTCTCATTTTACAGAAATGAGTGTCTGTGCCAGGGGTTTGTGATCTATTCCATCTGTCCAAACTTGTCCATAAATGACTTTTTAGCCTCTTCTATTTGAGGGTGATGATATACCTACATTTACTCATCTTACTTCCTGAACCTTCTTATCAGGGAGTAAGAGTGCAAAAATCCAGTCAGGTATATTTGGAAAAGGATCTGCTTATTCACGACACAATGCCGAAAGACTTTTTAAAAAGCTGATACTTGACAAGATTTTGGATGAAGACTTATATATCAATGCCAATGACCAGGCAATTGCTTATGTGATGCTCGGAAATAAAGCCCAAACTGTACTAAATGGCAATTTAAAGGTATGGTATTTTTCATGTTTATTTTATTATCTCACAATGAGTTCAACCAAAATATATTACTGTGAAGTATAGTGTCTTTGTCCAAGCTTATAGATACTGGATTTATATGTACTGTTCTATATGAACATATTCTGTTCTTCTTAAATTGGAAAGAGATCTTAAAATTCAACCCAAGTAATGTCAAAAGTAATTTAATGGGTTATCAGATCACTAAATTTTTATATATTCATTAAAGAAACATTTATCAAGAGGCTATTCTATGCTTGACACTAGAGATACAAAGATGGAGAATGCACAGCCCCTGTTCCCAGGGGGCTCACTCTCTGCGTGACAGAATAGAACTACCCCCAAAAAATGCAATTATGCATTAAATAAAGCCCCTGTATGGGTACAAGTGCACATATACCCACTCCTATCATTTGTTTCTCTCTCATAAAAGGTAGACTTTATGGAAACAGAAAATTCCAGCAGTGTGAAAAAACAAAAAGCGTTAGTAACAAAAGTATCTCAGAGGGAAGAGATGGTTAAAAAATGTCTTGGAGAACTTACAGAAGTCTGCAAATCTCTGGGGAAAGTTTTTGGTGTCCATTACTTCAATATTTTTAATACCGTTACTCTCAAGAAGCTTGCAGGTGAGTACGCATGTATCCTTTGTTACGTGGCACAGATTAATAGGCCGAAAGTTAATCTTGCTAGGAAACTCCTTAAGTGATAAATATATCTCAGTGGTTTGTTTCTTTTTGGGGTTGTTTTGAGACAGGGTCTAGCTGTGTCACCCGGGCTGGAGTGCTGTGGTGTGATCATGGCTCACTGCAGCCTCAGCCTCCTGGGCTCAAGTGATCCTCCCACCTCAACTTCCCAAGTAGCTGGGACTACAGGTACATACCAGCATGCACAGTTAATTTTTGTATTTTTTCGTAGAGACAGTTTCACCATGTTGCCCAGTCTGGTCTCAAACTCTTGGCTTCAAGCGATCCTCCCGCCTCAGCCTGCCAGAGTGCTGGGATTACAGATAGGCATGAGCCACTGAGCCTGGCCTCAGCTGTTTTTATTTAATCTCTGATTAAAATCTCAGAGAAACAATTGAAACTTACTCTTTTTCTGTTTGTTTTTGAGATGGTGTTTCACTCTTGTTGCCCAGGCTGGAGTGCAGTGATGCGATCTCAACTCATCACAACCTCTGCCTCCTGGGTTCAAGCGATTCTCCTGCCTCAGCCTCCCAAGTAGCTGGGATTACAGGCATGCGCCACCATGCCCAGCTAATTTTGTATTTTTAGCGGAGACGGGGTTTCTCCATGTTGGTCAGGCTGGTCTTGAACTCCCAACCTCAGGTGATCCACCTACCTCAGCCTCCCAAAGTGCTGGGATTACAGGCGTGAGCCACCATGCCCGGCTGAAACTTATTCTTTTTTTTTTTTTTTGAGGACATCTAAGACTTGAATATTAATCTCATTCTTAAGATAAAATATGTTCTTTAACATATATACAGTACTTTGTTATATATGGTATAATAGTACCCTATATATGTTATATATGGTATAATTATAGCTCTGTGCCTGTATGAAAAACACATATACTCAAAGTAAATTGTGGGTCATGCCTGTAATCCCAGCTACTCGGGAGGTTGAGACAGGAGAATAGCTTAAACCCAGGAGGCAGAGGTTGCAGATATTCGTACATAACACAGCTGAACACTATCAGGCAGGCAAATAATCAGCACAAATAATGAAGTGATGTCTGGTTTTGGAAATTACAATGATCTGGCCAGACGCGGTGGCTCATGCCTGTAACCCCAGCACTTTGGGAGGCCGAGGCAGATGGATCACGAGGTCAGGAGTTCAAGACCAGCCTGCCCAACATGGCAAAACCCGTCTCTACTAAAAATACAAAAAAATCAGCCGGGCGTAGTGTCAGGTGCCTGTAATCCCAGCTACTCGGGAGGCTGACGCAGGAGAATCACTTAAACCCGAGAGGCAGGATTTCACCATGTTGGCCAGGCTAGTCTCAGACTGCTGACCTCAGGTGATCCACCCACCTCAGCCTCCCAAAGTGCTGGGATTATAGGCGTGAGCCATTGCGTCCGGCCGGATTATTGTAATTTCTAAAACGAGACATCACTTCATTATTTGTGCTGATTATTTGCTTGCCTTATAGTGTTTAGCTGTGTTATGTACAAATATCTTCATCCTCCACCTCCTGGGTTCAAGCTGTTCTCCTGCCTCAACCTCCCAATTAGCTGGCATAACAGGCATGCGCCCACCATTTACTTTGATTATATGTATTTTTCATATAGGCACAGAGCTGTGGATAATAAAAATCAATGTCCAAATCACTAAAACACAATTCTTTCAAAAAAGCACTGTGTCATAGTTTAATTAGCAGAATTTTTTCTTCCTTAAAATACCCTTAATAGTCCATAAAATAGCAGTATCTTAATATAGTTGGCATCTCTTGGAGTCAGTAAATATTGCATAATAGCCAATTTGCCAATATTGTAATGGGTTGGGTCTGGCGCTCCCCACCTGTAATCCTACACTTTGGGAGGCTGAGGTGGGATCACTGAGGTCAGGAGTTGAGACTAGCCTGTGGCCAACATGGCAAAACCCCTTCTCTACTAAAAATACAAAAATTAGCTGGGTGTGGTGGCGGGGCATGTACTCCCCTGCTACTTGGGAAAACTGAGGCAGGAAAATTGCTTGAACCCAGGAGGTGGAGGTTGCGGTGAGCCAAGATCGCGCCACTGCACTCCAGCCTGGGTGACAGCGGGACCACATCTGGAGTCTACAGTGAAGAGATTGTGTTTTATGCTTCTGTGAATCTGGATCTAGCCATGCTATGTCTTTAGTTAATAAATACTTACTGGTCTGAGTTATTTCCATGAACAGATAGCCCAAATTTCAGTAAGTAGATTTCTGGGAAAACAACGTCTTATTACAGTTGACCAATGGGCTGTATTACCTTCCATATTTCTTCCTCATAAAATCTCATAATCATCACCTTCTGTCTTCTTCATTCCCTCTTCTACCATAATCGATCATTACAATATTTCACTGACTCTAAGATCTGATATATTAAGATACTGTTATACTGTGGACTGTTAAGATTAAGGAAGAAAAAATTCTGCTAATTAAACTATGACACAGTGCTTTTATTGAAAGAACTGTTTTTTACTGATTTAGACATTGATTTTTATTATCCACAGCTCTGTGCCTATATGAAAAATACATATAATCAAATTACTGTAGGTACCTATAAAAGTTCACATTCAAAGCCTGACTCTTCTGAGTCACTTTTTAACTGAGTTGTCCATGTCTTTGTTTTTCCCTGTGTCATCAGTAACATTCTCATTAGCCATAAGGCATTTCCAGAGTGTTCCACTATTTTCCCCCAGATTTAATTGAAACCTCTGTTATCAGTTCTATTTTGAAGGTGGTGGTTTCTTAATGATACCAGAAGGTGTCAACAGAAGGTTGTACATCTCTCAGTAACAAAGATGTAATGCTGCCTCATCTACTTTAGGTGTCTTCTTTCTTAGGTCATGTAAAGCACTTGGTTGTACTTGCAAGAAACTATGGAATTGTGGGCATGTGTCCTCAGAGACAAATAGTGCTTGGGTTTTTTTTGTTTTGCTTTGTTTTTTTTTTTTTTTTTTTTTGGAGATAAGATCTTATTCTGTCGCCCAGGCTGGGTGCAGTGGTTGAACACGGCTCACTGCAGCCTAGACCTCCTGGGCTCAAGTGATCCTCCTTACCCCAGCTTTCTGAGTAGCTGGAACTACAGGCATGTACCACCATGCTTGGCTAGCTTTTTCATTTTTTTGAAAAGACACGGCCTCACTGTTACCCAGGCTGGTCTCATACTCTTGGGCTGAAGCAATCTACCCTGTCTCAGCCTCCCAAAGTATTGGGATTACAGGCATGAGCTACCGTGCTCAGCCAGATAGTGCTTTTCTTAATGCCAGATGTGTTCCTTGCTACTCTGTTTCAGAACTTTTCTGCATTCACAATCACTTTTTTAATGCTAATCACAGTAGAGTCTTTTTGAAGACATGTCATGGCAGTTAGACTCAATACATGAGGTACAAACAGTGCAGTGACTTTGTTGACATGCTGACAGTACTAATAGCTGTGACTAAGTTCTCACAAGCGTGAGCAGTAACAACCGCAAGGCAGCTGCCATTTAGCCATCAGCAGTTCTAAGACACATCTTGACCTCAGGAATGCTAAGTTGTGAAAAGGTGTGTATCTTGGAATTGATGAAATATGGTATTTTATGGTATGTTATTTCTAGGCTCTTAGTGTAGTTTCTTAACTGTCCTCCTTACCTCCTGCTGTGAATGTGATGTACATTTTAATCTTTCAAAAACTAGTAAAACTACAACAGCTGCCCAGATAAAGTATACATTTTATCAAGGGTCTACATTTCTTCCTGCCTCTCACACTTTATCTTCCATTAAACACCCTTCATAAACCTTCTGTTCTGTCCACAGTCTGTTGCTTTTCCTCTAAACATAGGAATGATGTGAAAATCCCAGATGGGAAAGGATTCGAAATCTACCCTTTGCTCAGCTCAAATACATAGGAATGATTACTCCCTCGCTACCCAGAGCCAGTGCATCAGTCAGTCCTCCAGAGCCAGCCTCCAAAACTCACCCAAACCTTGCTTCACTGTGTCTCCACTACTGCATTCCAGTTCACTCCATCCTCACTCGCTCCTGCAATGGCTTCCACCAGGCTCCCGGATTCTACTGTTTCCTTTACAGTCAGTTTCTCTTTTTTTTTTTTTTTTTTTTTTTTTTTTGAGACGGAGTCTCGCTCTGTCGCCCAGGATGGAGTGCAGTGGCCAGATCTCAGCTCACTGCAAGCTCCACCTCCCGGGTTCACGCCATTCTCCTGCCTCAGCCTCCCGAGTAGCTGGGACTACAGGCGCCCGCCACCTCGCCCGGCTAGTTTTTTGTATTTTTTAGTAGAGATGGGGTTTCACCGTGTTAGCCAGGATGGTCTCGATCTCCTGACCTCGTGATCCACCCGTCTCAGCCTCCCAAAGTGCTGGGATTACAGGCTTGAGCCACCGCGCCCGGCCTACAGTCAGTTTCTTATACAGCAGCCAGGGTGACCTTTAAATGACAGGCTTGTCTAGCTGCAAGACTGATATGCAATCTCTATGCAGAGGACTCAGCTGGCTGCTTGTTGCCTCACCCCACGTGGGGAAGAGTGGAGGAAGAAAAGTTTGTGCTGGAGGAAGTAACAATTTGGTTATGCCATCCAGGGTGGGGTGTACAAGTCTGGAGTGCAGAGAAGAGGCTGGAGCTGGAAATAGAAATGCAGCCTTCTCAGTAAAGACAGGGCATGCCAGTCTCAGCTAGATGAGTATTGGCCATGGGAATAGTGGGCAAGAGCAGGTCTGCTCCACTCTGCGCACATGGCACAAGTCCCACCCTCAGCCTCCTCCTGCCCTGGCTCTTGCCCTTGCTCTGCCCTGGCCTGTGCCGCTGGAATTGGATGGTGGGTTCCTGCCCTCTGCGCCCGTCTGCTGCCTCTGAGGTGCTAACTTTGCCCTTTACAAAATTGGCCTGTGTTCCCAGTACCCTGCAGTTAGTTGGCACTTAGCAGACGTGCTGAATGCGTGAATGAGCATGAATTCAGTGGGTTTTCTATGGGTGATAATTTAAATTCCTAATTTTATGCCTCTGCACAGAATCTTTATCTTCTGATCCTGAGGTTTTGCTTCAAATTGATGGTGTTACTGAAGACAAACTGGAAAAATATGGTGCGGAAGTGATTTCAGTATTACAGAAATACTCTGAGTGGACATCGCCAGGTTAGTATACAGCCATGTGTGTTCTCTAAAAGCCTGTTTAATGTGAAGCGACGCATCTCACTGAATTAGAATGATGCAGTTTCCGGGTTGTGTGAATGCTTCCTACACCTCGTCACACTGACATCCAAGTCAGCCCCCAGTGGTGTGCCAGTCATCTCTGAGAGGACACTAGTGCTTTTGCCCCCTGCGGGTGCCAGTTCTGAACTTACTCATAGGATCCAAAAGGGGACCTTTGGGCCCAGGGGTTGCTAGTTCCTGTAATGCAAGTGCTCGAGGAATCAGAGCCCTGGGTGCCAGTGCCAGATCTGCCACCGTGTCATGCTGTGTGATCTTTGGCAGGCCACCAATAGCCTCTTTGTGAATCAGGTTCCTCCACCAAGGAAGGAACATGTTATCTGACAAACATGTCTAAAGATAAAATTTAAGACTAGTGTTTAAATGTTTTGGAGAAATGAGCATGAAACTAGAATGTTACTGTCGTTAGTCATTGACAGAACCTGCCTGAGTGCATCATTATCAGACGTTCCCAGAGTCACGTTAGGCCTGTCCTGACCTCTAATCATGAGCTTCATCATCATTACAGCTTTAGAAATCATTGACCGGGGGGAATGAGAACAACGAAGTATTTTGTTGCAGGCGATATTGAGAGCACAGAAGTCTTCTGCCCTCTGATAACATCACCATGTAAAAGGACACAACAGACAAGCCCAATTCAGTGTTCTTCCTGCTTCCAGACGGGCAGTGTGGGGGTCTTCCCAAGGGTGATGAAAATGATGAGCAGGATGAGATGGTTCAAGTTCTTTCTTTCCCCAGTCACCTTTTTTTTTTTTTTTTTTTAACAGAGTCTCACTCTGTCTGGAGTCTCACTCCAGGCCGGAGTTCAGTGGTACAATCTTGGCTCACTCTGCCTCCCAGGTTCAAGCCTTATCCCACCTCAGCCTCCCCAGTAACTGAGACTGCAGGCACGCACCACCATACCTGACTAATTTTTGTATATTTTGGTAGAGATGGGGTTTCACTATGTTGGCCAGACTGGTCTCAAACTTGTGACGTCAAGTGATCCACCTGCCTCAGCCTCCTAAAGTGCTGGGGTTACAGCATGAGCCACCACACTTGGTCAGTTTCTTATAATTCTTCTATATGGTAATTCGTCCATTAAAAGCCTTGTTCTGAATACATTTTGACAGTGAGCCAGGTTTGGAGCAGCCACGGTGGAGTCCTGTGCCCTCCATGTTGCTCCTGTAGGACAAACCAGACCAGCCAGGAAATGGAGACTGGGTCTTCGTATGACCTATCTATAGGGAGGTTTCGTGCTTTTTGGGTGCCTTGGGATGCAAATACTTATGGAAATTACCATCTTCTTTGCAAATGTGTGCTTTCATGCAGTCCCACCTCCCGCATAATATGTGACATGTTCAACCATTGTGCAAAGACAAGTTTTTTTGTCTGTGAAGAGTAAAATAGGGTCTAGAATTTTCTTATGCTCATTTACTAAGAAACTATTGTTCAAAGATGAGATACAGAACCGTTTGTTTCCCTGATATTGAGCTAATTTTTTCAGCACATTTAAAATAAGTAAAATTGCCTGCCATCTTTATAGCACTTGATGTTTTTTGAATTGCCTACCAGAACTAACTGCCTGATCAACAACAGGAACACAGGCCATATGCGACAGTATGAGCTAAACCTCATGTCTCTAGTTAACTTCAAGAGTATCACAAATTTTTTAAATGAATTCTGATTCTCTTTTGTTAAAAATGAATTGCCATTGAATACTTTGGGGCTTTGTGAAGTCAAAAAAAGGTTTGGTTCTTGCTGAATTGTTGAATCCATATGGCAGGGAGGAAGCCAGGTTATCTGCTAAAACAGGCCCCTGCAGTGTGTCCCTTCATATAGACTAAAAACACGTGGACCAGTGCGACATCACCGGTAAACATCTGCATTTTCCATTTGTAGCTGAAGACAGTTCCCCAGGGATGAGCCTGTCCAGCAGCAGAGGCCCCGGAAGAAGTACCGCTGAGGAGCTCAACGAGGAAATATCCGTATCTTCCCACTACTTTACAAGTAAAACCAGAAATGAAAGGAAGAGGAAAAAGATGCCAGCCTCCCAAAGGCCTAAGAGGAGAAAAACTGCTTCCAGTGGTTCCAAGGCAAAGGGGTAGGTTTTGTGACATCTTTGCAATATAGGGAACAAGAGAAGAAAGGACAAAAATGTAACAGCTCTGCCTTGCTTTGAAGTATTTATTAAAATAAGCCATTATTAAATATTGCCTCCCCAGTTAATAGAGTGACAATTAAGGTTTGATCCAAAGCAAAAATATTTGCTTCAAGAAACAACAAAAAAATATTTGCTTCAGATGTTTAAAACATCTACTGACTAACAGTTATGACTAAAGTTTTCTTTCTTTCTTTTTGTTTTTTTATTCGGGGGCAAAGTCCGGCTCTGTTGCCCAGGCTGGAGTGCAGTGGCGCAATCTCGGCTCACTGCAACCTCTGCCTCCTGTACTCAAGTGATCCTCCCACCTCAGCCTCCTGAGTAGCTGGGACTCCAGGTGTATACCATCACTCCTGGCTAATTTTTGTATTTTTTGTACAGATGGGGTTTCCCCATGTTGCCCAGGCGGGTCTCAAACTCCTAAGCTCAAGTGATCAGCCCACTTTGGTCTCGCCAAAGTGCTGCATTACAGACGTGAGCCCCCGCACTCGGCCTGACTAACATTTCTTGTTTGCAAAGATGTCTTCCATGTTGATCTTCCCTTAGATATTTGTGTGCTTGTTTGGAATGATGGCTCTTCCTAAGAGACTTTTCCACCTAAAATACTATAAATCATACACTACCTGAATAAATAACAAAGGGTTTTGTGTCCTCGTGACTTTTACGATTCTGTCAGTACTTGCTCTGCTGCTTTTATTGCTGCAGAATCCCATGGATCTCCACCTTGAGGCCGTGCACACTCCCTGCCTTTCATTAACGCCTGGGAGAATCGACCTCCCAGCCTTTGCAGGGGTAGCAAGAAGAAGCCACAACAGAGAAACCAAAAGTTCAGTCAAGCCAGGCCTCTTTAGGGTTGCATAAATGGCTTCTGTCTTCCCCTTCCCACGTTTGCCTGGGCCGCTCGTCTGGGACATGTCTGTTCTGGGTGCTTTCTGCACACCAGGGGAACAACAAAGATAGCACGGTCTGATCTGTGTGATGATCTTGGCAGTGTCCTTTCTAAATAATTGCATTGTTTCCGACAGCCCCTTTTTGGTTTTCTGCCAGGGCACCCTCTGCCTTCTGGCTAGTAGGTAAGGCCTGGCAGGAGGGAGACCATTTCATCAGTCTTGAGAACGTGACCCCAAAGTAACTGCATATTGTAACAGAATTGCTTGCAGAAAAAAGAAACCAAAAAGAAGTCCACAGTCAACTTTGCAAGCTGTTGTGTTTTCTTTTGCAGTTTTTCTACCTCTTGTCCTTCTGGGTAATAAAAAACAAAAATTGAGTGGGGGAAGAGAAAGGAAGGCAGACATTACCAAATTGTCATTTTCTTGTTAAGTCCATAAACAAACATCTTGTATGTGCTAATTCTCCTGCCAGAGTACTGAAATTAAAGGCATTAGAAAACGTTACTTTAATTTTGTGGCTTTGAGTGCGCAAGTGATCAGTAAATGTTCTTAAGTGAAGACATTTTCTTATTTCCATCATTTATTCCTCCGCTTTGGGAAATACTCATTTCCTCCATAACACAGAGCCAGAGACCTTAAAAGGCATCTGGCTCAACACCCTGGGTTTTTGAAGAGGAAGCTGAGGCCTGGCCTGGGGAGGGCTTATCGGAGGCCAACCCTGCCTAGTATCAGTTTCAAAGATAGAAGCGGACACTGGCCTGCCCACACCTGCCCGGAGCACGTCCACTTCTGCATGTTGCCTGTGGAGACTCCTAAAAAACACACATGGTCTCCCATCTCATTTTTATGTATTAGAACAAAGCAAACCATATTCCAGTGTTCAGTGCTATTGGCTCCCTTATTTAATTTTCACAACTTTTGTTTGTAAGAGTGAAGCACTTTGCAGCATCACCTGGAACCTAAACTGATAAGAAGCAGTAAAGCTCACACTCGTGCAAAAGCCAGTACCAATTTCCATGCTTGTGTTCAGTGAGCCTGGGTGTTTAAGATGGGATTATTTGTTGTTGTTGTTGTTGTTGTTGTTGTTGTTGTTACAGAGTTTCACTCTTGTCACCCAGGCTGGAGTGCAGTGGCACTGTCTCAGCTCACTGCAACCTCTGCCTCCCAGGTTTACACCATTCTCCTGCCTCAGCCTCCCAAGTAGCTGGGATTACAGGTGCATGCCACCATGCTGGGCTAATTTTTATTTTTATTTTTATTTTTTTTTTTTTTTTTGAGACAGAGTCTCACTCTGTTGCCCAGGCTAGAGTGCAGTGGCCGGATCTCAGCTCACTGCAAGCTCCGCCTCCCAGGTTTACACCATTCTCCTGCCTCAGCCTCCCGAGTAGCTGGGACTACAGGCGCCCGCCACCTCACCCGGCTTTTTTTTTGGTATTTTTTAGTAGAGACGGGGTTTCACCGTGTTAGCCAGGATGGTCTCGATCTCCTGACCTCGTGATCTGCCTGTCTCGGTCTCCCAAAGTGCTGGGATTACAGGCTTGAGCCACTGTGCCCGGCCTAATTTTTGTATTTTTAGATGGGGTTTCACCATGTTGGCCAGGCTGGTCTCAAACTCCTGACCTCAGGTGATCCACCCACCTCAGCCTCCCAAAGTGCTGGGATGACAGGCGTGAGCCACTGTGTCTGGCCAAGATGGGATTCTTTTTTAAGCCCTACCAGCTAAAGCCAGTGCGCTGTGTGACTTTGTGTTACCCTTGGAGCAGCCTCTTTGTGCTCCACTCTCCTTTCCACCAACCCAGTCTGCTCCCTGGATTGAGAGTCCCTGTGCAGTGAAAGAATAAATGTGGCTCTCTGCCAGCAACCTCACCTCCCCACCCTACCCTCAGAGTTTTACATCTTCAGAACAACATACACTGAACCAGTTGTGTTCTGGGCTCTCTGAGTGGGAGTAAATAGATGGCCCAGGTGAAATGGAGGCTGCTGTTGGCAGATTCATTCTGTAAATCAACATAAACAGCAGGTTTTCGCTCAGGGCTTAATTTCTCAGCAGGAAATCAACATAGGGAAACTTCAGGCTGCATCTCTGCCGGTTTAGCAGATCTTCGCCAGTTCTGCAGGAAAATTGCCCTGGAGCCAGAGTTGAAGTCGTGGAGCTCCCCCAGAATGTCATTACCCACAGGCTATGGCCCTATACCCTCAATTCAGACGGGAGGCTGCTTGCATGCCCTGGTGCCATGGCACTAATGTTGGGCCTGACATCAGCCTGGTTAAAAGCAGCAGGAAAGGCTTCTGTGGGTACTGCTGCCCACAGTCATCACTGTAAACATGCCGGCCTCATGGTTTTGTTTTTTATTTCATTTAGGGGTGGGAAGGGAGCTGTTATCTTAAGGTCTGCAAGGAAAGTGAGATGCTGGAAGGACTTTGTAATCGGCTGTGGCAGCTTCTTCCTTGGCTTTAGAAGGCAGCGAGTGGGAGGGAGAGCGGGCAGATCTCCCGGTGTAGGCAGGTGAGCCAGGGAGCTGCAGGACACGGCCCTGACAGAGACAGGCCACACCCTTGGATAAGGGAGCTCAGCCTCCCCAGGAAGCTGCATCTGCAGCCCTCCTGGGGCTTCCTGGGGCTGGCCAGGAAGACGCCCAGCTCTGCCAGTCCTGGCCACCCAGCTCCATGCCACACGTGCTCACCCCACAGCTGCCTTGCTCTGGACTGTACAAATCCAGTCGTTCCGGGGTGCCTGTCAGCAGGGAGCTGAGGCCTTGCAGCAAGGTGTTTCACTTCCTTTATTTGGTCGGAATGGATGAGGGCATGTGAACCTCAGCTCCTCTTGTTGTACGGCTCTGGTTGTAGGCTGCCGAAGGTGTGGGTGGAGAGAGGGGCGGTGGGTTGGTCACAAGTCAGAAAATTAAGAAACAGTCCTTCACATTTCAGAAGGACAAATCCAGGACAAATTTATATGAAGGGCAGTGGTCCTTTATTCCTTAAGTAGTAAAGGAAACTGACCTTACCTGGGGGGTTCATAGGCAGAAAATGCACAAGGACACATAAGGCCCAGGAAAGCCATAGTGTAGCTCTGTGCAGGTCGAGAGGAAGAAGGTCATTCACTTTTGGTTCCATTTAACATTTTGATTTTTTCTTTGTCACATTTCAGGGGGTCTGCCACATGTAGAAAGATATCTTCCAAAACGAAATCCTCCAGCATCATTGGATCCAGTTCAGCCTCACATACTTCTCAAGTGACATCAGGAGCCAATAGAAAATTGGGGATTATGGCTCCACCGAAGCCTATAAATAGGCCATTTCTTAAGCCTTCGTATGCATTCTCATAACAACCGAATCTCAATGTACATAGACCCTCCTTCTTGTTTGTCAGCATCTGACCATCTGTGACTATAAAGCTGTTATTCTTCTTACACCATTTGAAATTTTTACTCGTCTCTATTAATATTTAAATAAATGCTGGGGGTGATAGTTCTTTTTAAAATAAACATTTTCTTTTGAATAAGCATGTTTTGCTGCTGCTGCAAGTGTTGTGGCCGTTGTTTCTCAGAACGTCTGAGGCAGCAGCTGAATCATCTCAGTGCAAGAGATTCTGAGCATAACACGAAACCCAGAAGCCAAAGGAAAAGCCACATGTGGGCCCTTGTGAAACGAAAGCTTTTTGTATGAGACAACACAAACAAAATTAAAAGACAAATGACGGGGAAAAGAGGAGAAAATATATTACAAAGGATTAGTATCCATCATATACCAAATACCTGTGAACCAGTCAGAAACATCCCAGTGGGCAGGTGAACCAAGGATGTGAACAGGCTAGTCTCAGAAGAAGAAATACACATGCCCACGGCTGGGTGCCGTGGCTCACGCCTGTGATCCCAGCACTTTGGGAGGCCGAGGCAGATGGATCATGAGGTCAGGATTTCGAGACTAGCCTGACCAACATGGTGAAACCCCGTCTCTATTAAAAATACAAAAATTAGCCAGGTGTGGTGTACAGGCACGACTGTAGTCCCAGCTACTCGGGAGGCTGAGGCAGGAGAATCGCTGGAACCCGGGAGGCAGAGATTGCAGTGAGCCAAGATCATGCCGTTGCAGTCCAGCCTGGGCAACAGTGAGACTCCGTCCCCCCAAAAAAAAGAGAAGGAAATAAATACATATGCTCTGCAAATACGTGCAAATGGTCAATCTCCCTGAATAAAAATATGATAAAACCACGTGAGTTCATTCTTTTGCCTACAAATTTACACTGGATAATATCCCAGTATTTGGGGTCAGCGAGAAAGGTTGGCAGGTTGTTTGGGTGGCGTGTGTGGCAGTTCCTCTAGTCCTTCGGTATTGTGGTGGCCTCGCTTTTCAGGATGCTCCATAATGGGCTGATTGGCCCCAGCATCCTAGGTAGGATTTTGGCCTCTCTTGCCTCAACTCCAGTGGCCCCGTTTTTGCAGACATGGGTTTCTCAGCTCTAGGTCACCTTTGGGTCCCACACAGCGAGGAAGTGGCATAAGTCGTGAAACACACACCTCGACCTGCCCCTTGTGTGGTGTTACCTGTGACCTCACTCAGGAGGGTATAGCTGGGAAGACCCTGCCTGTGCCAAAGCCAAAGGTGTGAAGAAGGGGTTGATTGGAAGCCATGTGGCCTCCGCCTGGTGACTCAATCCTGAGAGGGACCCTGCACCCACCCTGAGGACCCACCCTTGTGGTAGCACACCAACTTCCTGCCTCCTGGGCTGTCTGTGAGCCCCAACTGCGGCCTGTGGGCTTTTGGCTCCTCATTTAATGGGGTTGACTGGCCAGGTGACTTGCTGAGGGCTGAGCACCATTAGCACGAATGCCTTCCGGATCTGACATTTTCAGAGGCCATCCTTCTGGCCAGAAGAACCTTCTCTGGGGATGAGGAGTGGAAAGGAGACAAAGTAGCCGAAGTTGAGGCACCTGGGGTAATGTCCACAGCATGAGGCCACCTTGGAGAGTTGCTGATCCAGTCAGCGCATCTGGCACGAGGCATGTCCGTTCCACCTGCTGCAGCAGCTCTGGCCTTGTTGGTGGGGATGGACCCCAGCACAGACAGGTCACTGCTGGGCTCTGACCTCATCCACTCGTTCTTTCTGGAGATGGAGCTTATCCCTCAGGGTCGCTGGCTGTGCCTCCAGGGGCTCCCAGGGCTGTGGGGGAACAGATGAAAATAACATGTGCAGGGCCTGAAGGTGGAGAGCAGAGGCCATGTGGGGCCCACACGACCTACAGCCCTTCCCCATGTCCTGGGAAGATGACAGGGTGGCTCGCCCCTGCCTCCCAGCAAGGAACCTGAGGCTTAGAGACCTCTGATTTGCCTAAGCTCAAATGACCACAAGTGGCAGAGCCAGGCCCCACACCCAACTCTTGAAAACATTCTGGGTTGGAACAGGCTCTGCCCAGTTTCTCAAGACCCGGGAACAGGCACAGAAAATGCAAGCAGCCTCCTTCCTCCAGCTCATCTTCCAGCCCTCCCAGACCCCCAGGGAAGGCTCTGCATTCGCCCAGCGCAACCCCAGGAGGGCAGAAGCAGGCAAACTTTCTCTGAACGGATGCCAAGGCCTTGAAGCCAAAGACAGGTCCACGGTGACAGCAAAGCTTCTCTGGGCTGGGCCCTGCTGGTGCCCCTCCATGGGCACAAATTGCCACCACCTGGGATAGGAGAGGGCACAAGTCCACCAGGGAGTGCCAGCCTGGGACCCATCACGGGCCCATAATTCCCTAGGTACAGGAAGGCCTAACTCTCCCACACTCACTTGTCACCCTTCTGGAGGGCACAGGCAGGACTGGAATCTGGCTCTGCAGCTGCACATATGCCCTGCTGAGGCCCTCACACTGCAGAACGCTGGCCGGCAGGCCCTTGCTCACCTCCAGGGACAGAACCAACCACTCTCAGAGGAAAAGAACAAGCATGGAGAGCCCCCCACCCCACTGGCACTGTGCCAAGGGCTGTTTCTGGAACTCAGGTAATTCACTTCTTCCATCCCTCCCGCAGCCCTGGGAGGCAGGCACATGATGTTGGCCTTTTTTATGCAGAAACCAGAATTCAGAGAGGTTATGTAACTTGCCCAAATCCACGCAGCTAGGAAGTGGTAGTAAGTAGGGTAATACACATCTCGATGTGCCCTGAAGAGTCCCAGTTTACATCCGTTGTCCTGGTGTGATAATTAACACAGCTCACTTTCATTCTCAGAAGTGCTCCAGTTCAGACAAGTTCAGTGGCATCAAGAATCTAAGCTCTTTCCCTGAACTATCCAACCTCCTCGCCCAACCCCACTTTCCAGCCAGAGCCTCAGGGGCCACCTGCTGTCACCTGTTCGAAACTCCTGGCCTCTGCTGCAGGCTCCAGGCACAGAGGCTGCAGAATTATCAGCCAGCATCGCTGAGCTGCGGCTTTTCTCCAGAAGAGGAAGTGGAGGCTGTGGTCCAGGCCCTCTCGTTCTTCTTGAGAAACTGCTGCTTCTCCCACTCCTGCAGCCGTCTGGAACTGCTCTGAGGCCCCGAGGCCCACCCTGTCCTTTGGAGGCTCCCAGAGTCCCAGCCCGGCTCTTTCTGTGGCTCAGAGCTGCTGCCTGGGTGGGGAGCAGCAGGCAGCAGTCAACCTCCCCCAGCCTGGGACCCCCTGCTGGCAGAGGCCTCTGGGCAGAGACATGGCTGATGGGTCTTCTGTAGCAGCTGGAGTGAAATCCCCAGTGGCTCCAGCAGCCACTTCTCCCTCAGTGCAGCTGCCACAGCCCCGTGTGGCCTCAAAGCCAGGGCTCAGAGAAGCCAGCTGGTGGGCACACCCAGGGGACCCGAGCCTGGCCCAGAGCCTGCTAGGTGCTCCAGTTCATGAGTGCAGCAACCACTAGTAGGCAGGGGCTCAACTCTGCAGCTGTGCAGGGCAGACCCAGGACTTCGGGGACAAGCCCCTCGGCCTGCAGAAGGCTCCTGCTTTCCAAAATGCACTCACGCTGCTGTTCCTCCCATCCCGGAAAGGCTCCTCGGCTGGCCCACGCTCCCTGTTGGCAGGAGAGGAAGGAGGAAGGGAGAAAACCCTCCCTGGTTGGGGTGGGCTGTGAACCCTCCCCCACAGGGTCACCACCGGGAAGAAGGACAGGACAAGGTAGACAGAAGCCAGAAGTAGAGTCCAGAAAGCCCCAGTCACAGCGAGGAGTCCCGGAACAGGTCTGAGGCTGGTCCCTGTAGCTAACCAAGGTGAAGGTTGGGGTTCTGGCATCATCACAGCTCAACTGTGTGGTTCCACAGCCCCCAGAGGGTTCGGGGAGCCCTGAGAAGGTGCCCGGATGGCACTCTGATGGTGTCTAGGCTCGGGTCTATTCAGGATGTGGGAGTTCACCCCAGAGAGCCTGTCTGTCCCCATGGGTCCCACACACAGGGCCTGCCACACACACAGGCCACAGGCGTCTGCCTGTCCCGGCCCCATCTACTCAATCCCTGCCAGGAGCCACAAGGCCCCATGAAGGTCAGGCCCTGGCATTATGCCTGGGCCAGGAGTGGAGCAGAGAGCTCAGGTCCCTGCTTCCTGCAGGGAAGACTCTCCTCAGTGGGATAGAACCTGGAGCAGGGACCCTTAGGGTAGGAGGTGGCAATGGTGTCCCGGGAACTGCTGACGCGGATTAAGGGTCTGAAGAGCCACCACTACCAGACCTGAAACCCCCGCCTGGAAGGAAGGACATTAGAGACACTGAGAGACACTGGCACTTCTGCCCAGAGCCCTGCTTGGGCTCAGAAAGGGATGGCCCCCTCCACTGTGGCCCCCACAGCTGTGGGAGCATTGAGACGTTGTGACGCGGACGCAGTTAACCCTGCTAACCCCAGAGATGAACTCAGCAGTTAGCACCAGGGAGACCGGAGGTCTGCCCATGCCAGCCCCACCACAGACACCCACCTGCAAGGCTGGATGTTAATATGAGGACAGAGACCTCTGCAGCCATCATCACCACAGGTCCCTTGCACCCAAATGAAAGCCAGTCTGGAGTGGGTGGGACCCGGCCCCTTCCTCAACCACCGAGTGCCCTTGGCAAGTTCTGTGGCCTCTCTGAGTCCCAGTGTCTCATCTGCACCATAAACATGCCACTTGGTCCTGACCTCCAGGGCTGCTGTGGCATCCTTTTGGTCAGATATTCCACAAACATTTCTTGGCCAGAGTAGCGCTCCAGGCATGGTTCAGCCTTCAACCAGGGCACAGACAGGGAGTGAAGCGCCCCGGGGAGAGGAGAAAGCAGTGTTGGAGTATGCAGGGGTGGGGGTGAAGACCCCAGGGCACCTGGGCCAGTGGGAGTGGGGGAGGGTGCCCAGGGGGCTGAAGCAGCCAAGTGACCTCCAGGCTGACCATCCCAGTGTCCAGCCACCCTCGCTGAAGCCACCCTGTGCTCTCCTTTGTGGTCCCCTCCTCACCTAGGAAGAGCAGAAAGGACACAGCGCCCACCCGTGGGACCCCCTTCCTGGGCAGAAAGCGCCCTGTGCCAGCCTGGCCACCACCTCACTGTGAGGACATGCGCACCCTGGGCTGGGCCACCTGCCTGTATGAGCTCCAGCCCAGCAAGTGGGCACAATGGGGGTGACCCCAGCACACCTGCCAGGACCCCTGCCCCATAGGGCCTGCCACTCTCTCCACAGGCCTCAGCTTAGGGTCTGTACCTTTGCCCCACATCTGGGTTCCAGCCCCAGGGACTTGGCACACAGCAGGTGCCTAAAAACAGCTTGTTGGATGGATAGATGAGCGGATGGGTGGGTGAGTGGGCGCAGGGGCGCTGTGAAGACATCTGTCTCACTGCCTCCTCATGGAAGGATAAGATACAAGGAGGAGACGGGGCCTCAGGCCGGCAGGGCCCTAAAATCCTGCAGCCCCCCGGCCAGCACCAGGCCAGTGGGAACGGTGTCCCAGGTCACCGAAGGCTCCCTTGTTACTTCTGCTGGCTTCATCTGGATAAGTAGAAGCTGCTTTCCAGCTGGCTTCAGTTTTCACTTAGATTTTCTTCTTTTTTTTTTTTTTGAGGCGGAGTCTCGCTCTGTCACCCAGGCTGGAGTGCAGTGGCACGATTTCGGCTCACTGCAAGCTCCGCCTCCCAGGTTCACACCATTCTCCTGCCTCAGCCTCCGGAGTAGCTGGGACTACAGACACCTCACGCAGAAATAACCTCCGGGGACACACCAGGCTATACACCTCAGCCTCCACAAATTAGCTGCAGGACTGGCACTGCTGCCACCATACGGCTCTTGTTTTTTTAGTAGAAGCGGGGTTTCACCGCTTCCAGCCCCCAGAGGATGGTCGCCGATCGGCCTCGGAGTTATCTCCGCCTGCCTGAAGCTCCACGTGCTGTAAGTTACCGGGCATGAGTCTGTACTTTTAGCCTAGGTTTTGCTTTTCTCATGTTTTTATTTTCCATGCCTTATTTTGTTGGCCAGTGAGACAGAGTCTTGCTCCTGCCCAGGCTGGAGTGCGTGTCTCGGCTCACTGCCGCTCATCCTGGGTTCCAGCGAGGCTCTTTCCTGTCTCATCCGGTGGCTGGGTTACAGGCGCCTGCACTTCACCACCGTAGCTAATTTTTTGTATTTTTAGTAGAGATGGGTTTTCACCATGTTGGACAGAGGCTGGTCTTGGCTCACGGCCTCAGGTGATCCACCACCTGGCCTCCCAAAATGCACGGATTACAGGCAGCCCCGTGCCTGGCCCTAGGTTTTCTTTTGCTTGGCCTTTACTAATGTTTTATTGCCAGTTGGGAGTCTTATTTGTCCCATGAAAGAAAGAGCAAGCCAGTTTCTTCCTAGCACTGAGCTGCATTGTCATGTGTGAGAGGTGTAACCTACAGTGTCTGCTTCTGAGCTCTCTTTCTATCCTCTCTGCTTGCGCTTCCCAGAGTTTTTACTTGGCCTTGCTGTGTGTGAGGGGAAGGCTTTGTGGAGACAAGGTGCATGGAGCAGTTGGGAGTGTTTGTAAAACTTTGTCACTGGGTATTCTACAACCATTGTGCAGGAGGAGAAAAAGCTTCAGTCCCAGCCACGCGAAAGCAGGGCCCAGGGCAGTAGTTCTCAAACTTGTGTTAGCCCGTGTTACCTGCACCCTGGAGGGCTGGTTGTGCTTACAACTTCCAATGCAGCAAATCCCAGGAGGTTGCACCCCAAAGTGAGCATTTCACCTGGCCTC